AAAATGACCTGAGGCAGATCCTTTTAGCAAGGTCCCCGTAATCATTTCATTTCCCATAACTAAAAGGCAGTGCTGAGGGTCCACAGGGTACCTCCAAGGCAGGTGTCATGGGTATAGTTTGAACAGAAATGAGTTGGGGGGAGATTGTAGCCTGGCCAGAGGTGTTCATCTCTCCATCAACCAAGAAATCTTTACAGCAAAGAGGGAATTGACCTTTTCCTTCTCACTGGGCTCTCCAGCACCACCCGTGTCTGTACCGTGGGGGCTTGGGTGGGATGGGAAGGCTTCACGTGCATCCTGGCTGTGCTTGCAGAAGGCTCGAGAGGTTGGGTGAAAGGCGTTGAAGTTGTTCCATGCTGAGCATTTCGTCTATATTTAGGGAGGAAAAGGAAGCACTTAACTACCAGCTGCAGATCGACTAACAAGGGTTATATTAGAAAAAAATAGTCCATCACGTTTTATTTCCTTCCTGCCTTCAAATGACTTGGAGAGTGCGAGCTGTCCTTGCGATCCAGCAGCGCAGATCCGGAACCGGGATGGAGTTCTCTGCCTGCTGTCCCATCAGTTACCTGGTACCTGTGACAGCCTTGTGGTGCAAGGGGAAAACCAAACCTGGGTTGCTGCTTTGTGTCAAAAAGTCATCAAATAGGGGTGACATCGCTGTGTCTGCAGCAGACACGGGGCACAGGGGGACTCCCCAGCGGAGGACAAGGTGTCCCGGTAACCAAAGAGCAGCCTCAGTGCAGGACCGAGTACAAAATATGTTTCTGGAGTTTGGTTTCTTTTTCCTTTTTTTTTTTTTTCTTCTTTCCATTGTCTCCTTCCAAATAAAAAGGTGGCTCTGCTGTGCTTGATCTGTTAGTTATTAAAAGAAGATCACGGCTGTGCTAAAGTAATCCATTTTTCATCCGTCGGAATTAAAACCGTCTGGATGTAGCCCGGGCTTAACTGGCTGATGAGATGTTCTGCTCTGCAGTGGGTAGAGATTGAAAAAAAAATTATTCTTCTTTCCATTGTCTCCTTCCAAATAAAAAGGTGGCTCTGCTGTGCTTGATCTGTTAGTTATTAAAAGAAGATCACGGCTGTGCTAAAGTAATCCATTTTTCATCCGTCGGAATTAAAACCGTCTGGATGTAGCCCGGGCTTAACTGGCTGATGAGATGTTCTGCTCTGCAGTGGGTAGAGATTGAAAAAAAAATTAAAATCTGCAATAATGAATCTTTTCTTTAGAATAACTCACGCAAGATTAGATGTAATAAATAGAAACTAGGGGAGTCACAGCGGAGCAGTCCCACGGGTGTCGGGCTGCACGGTGTTGGTGAGGGACGGTGCACGGGTCGGCTCTGCGTTTGGGGTCACCGTTTTGTGTCACTCCCTTGGAAAACACAACAGTGAGTCCCTTTCCCAGGCGTTCTAGTTGCCAGCTTTGGGAGATGTTTCATCTACTTTAACATGTCTGATTGCTGAGCACTTATTCAAGTCACTGCATTTATAACGACCAGAGTGCTCTTTCCATCTACAATTGATGGAAACAGTTGGAACTGCTGGCTGGTCACAGGTACCGTCTGCAGACTTGGTTATTCCCAGGAGTTGGTGTCACTGTGCAGGATTTTCAGCCCCACAGACAAGGGGTGCAGCGAGA